TCTCCGCTCGACGCCCGCTCGAGCTTGAGACATGACTCCGCTCGAGCGCCCAGTCCTCCGCTCGAGCGGACTGTAAAACAGTGCAGAGATACTGGATGCTCGGATTTCACGCTCGAGCGTAACTTTCCCCGCTCGAGCGGAAGTGCAGAATCTGGAAATTCCAGATTGCACCTCCAAGCTCAAACTCACCTTCAAATGCATCAAAACCAATCCTCTTGGGCCCATTTTCTGGAAAACTCTTATAAACACATGGAATAACATGATTCAAAGCTCAATTTGAGAAATCAAAGCCCAAGGGTGTTTAATTCAAACCCAATTTCAAACCAATTTCATGAACATGGAGAACATGCAAACATGCATGAATTCAAATCAATTCAAAGCTTCAATTTGATGCTCTATTGAGCCAATTGTTCCAAAACAAGTTGAAACCATGGACTTCGGCCTAATGATGGACATGCATGTACAATTTTGCCATGAACTCAACTCCAAATTCAACTAAGAACACATGCATGCAAGAATTATGTTCTAGTCCTACATGTATGAACCAAAACATGACTTAGCTCTACAATTTCACATGGACCATGCAAGAATTGGTTTAAACACAAGAATGAGAAGATGAAATCCTTACCTAGAGCTTGTATTCAAAGTTTAGGAGCTCAAATTAGTAATCAACCTTCAATTCCAAGCAATTCACGCCAATTCAACAAGGATGAACTCAAGTCTCTCACTTCCTCTCTCTCTAAATCGGTAGTGTGCTCAAAACATGGCTGAAGAAATGTTTTGCAATGCAAAGCTAAGGCTTAACAAAGTTTGGTGTAGTGGTCCACTAGAGGTTAGTTTGGTAATTAAGTCCAACTCTTTAATTAGCTTGTTTTAATCTAATTTAATCATACCTAATCAGTTTTCAGGTAAAGATACCATAAAATCACATTAATTATGAGGATCATAAAACATTAATCAATTTCTAATTCGGCCGCCGATAAGGCCTTCAATTAGCAGTTTAAACATATAAGCATGAACAGATATTCATACAGTCAAACAGATAGAATGCAATTTAACTAACATATACTCAATCAATTCAGTTCCAGTTTTCAGTCAGTCGTTTCAGTACTTTAATCAGTTCATTTATCATTCGTAATCAGTTAAGTTATCAGTCATAATCAATTCAGTCATCGGTAATCAATGTTTAACGGTAATCAGTGGTGAGGGTTGTTACAGATTTGGTGAAAACCCCCTCATAATAAAACTTTAATGTATTAAGGACAATCACAAAAAGTTTTTCTTAAAATGTCTAGAACACACAACTATTACCAAAATATCCTTGGACAAATTATACTAGTGGTTCTTATATTTTAGTTTTTGTGTCATTTTGGTCCTTATATTTTTAATTGACTCATTTTTACCCTTAATTTTAGATTTTGGTATAATTGATAATATCATTAGTGTTTTTTTAAGAAAAATTATCATTAAATTGGTTGAGGTTAACTAACTGAGTTGAGTAAATTTATAATTTTGCCCTTAAAAATATAGCACGTAACACTCATACTAAGAGTTGTAATCAATTGAAATAAGTTGAGACAAATCATAAATATATGGTCAAAATCGAGTCAATTGAAATTACAAAGACTAAAATGACACAAAAACCAAAGTATAAGGACTACCGTCGTAATTTGCCCAATATCCTTAGTGACTAATTTAATATTTTAAACTTTAAAATGATATTTTTTAATTTAGATGTCGGTTTTTAATAAAATTAGTATTTTTATAATTCTCTAATCAAGATATATCAAATAAAACCCAAGTTAACTATGAAATTCTTAAAATAAAAAATAAAAAAATAACCGTTGTAATTGACGTAAATAGTAATATTTTACTATTGATGTTAGTTTCAACAGTGAAAAAAAAATTACGATTTAAAAAAAAAAATCATTGTCAATATAGATCTTGTTTAATAGATGTTGACGAGAGGATTATAAAACTACTAATTTTATTAAAAACCAATATATAGATAAAAAGTTATATCTTTTTAAAGTTTGAAATATCAAAGTAGTTACAAATGGTAAGATTGTTTATAAAAAATGGAAACAAATTTGTTTGTCTTTGATGGAAGAGACACTTTTTCTCTAAGGGGTTTACAAATTAAAAAAAATTGGGCTATCCTTTTTACTTTCAAGGAGACCAATGAGGGACTGTTGGCTAAATATTCACGACCGACTCCTCATCTTCTACTTCGCAACCCTACAAACAATTGATAGAGAGAGAGAGAGAGATCCTCACCTCCTTAGGGTTTTCAGATTTGATAAAAAAGAAGGAGAATGATGGTTGTGGCAAAGGAAATGGCAAATCTATTAAGGGGGTGGTGAGAATGGGTTAGGGTTTGAGGCAGATTACATGTCATCCGTTACCTGAATAAATGAGATCTGGTCAAGAAAATCCCATTCGCATTTGACCACTCATGGCTTCGAAATCGACTGAACCAATTAAGCAGATTGAGGGTGAATGCAGATTAGGTTAGTGAATTGAGTCATACTATTTTGGGTCTTTTGTGACTTTATTTTTGGGGAATTTACTGGTAGGTCCCATATACAAAATTCAATACCCATCTAGTCCCAAAACAAAACGTTTGTACCAATTAGTTCTACATATTTTTAATTGTTATCAAAAAATCCTAATTTTTTTTTATTTATAATTTAAAGATGCTGCTACATCCCATTACCACTGAATTTCCATCAAACGGTCACGGGAGACTCACGCGGAATGTTTAACATTAACGGAAAGTTACTGGAGTATTGCTGGAGTATCGCCGGAGTGCTCTAAAAAGTCACTAAAAGTTGCTGGAATGTCGAGAACATTCGTTAAACGTCAAAAACATAGTCGGAGATTCATCGGAATGCCCAAAATATTGTCGAGAAAAAAAAAAAGAATAAATAGAGAAGTTAAAGTAATAAAATAACAAAATGTACTAAATATTGATAAACTAAAAAAAAAAAAATTAACAACAACAAACAATAACAATGGGAAGAAGACATATGTTATTTTTCAATTTTTAATGGATTTAAGAAAATAATTTTCAATATTGATCAAATTGAAAAGTAAGCTTTGAAACTGTAAAATGTTATAATTTCAATGCATGATTCTCTTAAGCATTTATCATCATTAATCAAACTAAAAAATATGTTATGAAACTGCAAAATTTTGTAGTTTTAAACCATGATTTATTTCAGCACCAAAAAAACTGAGATTACAAATTTTTACAGTTTTCACCGCCTATAAGTAAAACTCAAAAACAATTCGTTCAAAATTTAAAAATTTTCTCCATTAAAACAAGAAAAGAGAAGTGTGTAGTAGAGAAAATATAGAAAAACTAAGAGATCGAAAGAGAGACAGATATAGAGAGGATTGTACTCTAAGAACTTTTTTTTCTTTAGATCTACATTAGATTTGAGTAGATTTACTCATCTTTTTCGTTGAAAACTCATCTCCTTCACCGTTGGTGAGAGCGAAACAAGAAATTGATGGTTGCCGATGAACCCCAATCGATGGTGGTTGTTGGTGATTATATATCAGAAAAAGAAAGAAAAGAAGGTAGGCATAGTCATTGGTCACCGAAAATCAGGAAGAGAAAGAGAAAAATAAGAACGAAGGTACAAAGACAGATAAGAAAAATGTGAACAAGACTTTTAAGTATAAACAGAAAGCTACGGGACTAAATAGAACACCCTCTTTCAAAGAAGACTTGTAAGTAGTTTGCCTCTTAATTTTCTCAAGTATTTTCATTTCTGGTTTAGGCCTTTTTTGAACCTTTTTATTTTTTTTCCAATTCTGCATTTTTTTATTTTTATTTTTTGGCAAAAGACTATGTTTGCTCCAAATCCCACTGTCTAATTATTTTCCTTTTCCTTTCTTATTTTAGGCAAGTTATAAATACCTGACATGATATGACTAGATTTTTCCTCATGTTTGAAAAAATTATAGATTTTTCATTAGAGTTGATCTGTTATCATAAAAAGTAAAATTATTTTATTATCCTCTAAGCCAAATCAAAGCCACTCTAAAAGGGCGTTTGCAAATTAAATTTTTATTTTTAAACAAAAAAAAGTAGAGAGGATAGGTGGACCATTTTAAGTCCTTTTTTTAATTTTTTTTATTTAGGCCAAGTTTGGCATCTCCCAAAAAAGATAAAAAATTACTCAAAAAGTTATCACTATTCACAAAAAAAAATATTAAAAAATTAACTTTCCACACATACATACAACTCACCAATCATGTGATGAAGAAAGTTGTGTAGCGTTTGTGAAAAAAAATTACACAGTTTAAGTGCAATTTTCACACATTGCTGTTCGGCCCATGGGGCCATCACGGGTCCCGTTTTGATAATCTGAACCGTTGAATGTGTAAAACTCGTCGAGTACTATATGTCTGTAAAAAATCACATTGATCAGATATCGATAACTACATGATCAAATCAGTTTTATATAAAAAAATGGATAGTGTTATAATTAACGATTGAAAAAAAAACAAATCTGATCAGATAGCTCTCGATATCCGATCAACGTGATTTTTTATAGGCACATAGTACTCGACGAGTTCTACACATTGAACGATTCAGATTATCAAAATACGACCCGTGATGGCCCCCATGGGCTGAACAAAACCGTCTAGTGCAATGACCAAAAAGTAGCCAATCATTTCTTAGCCTCAATTGAACTGCCCAGAAAGTACAGCAGCACAACTCTTAATCCTAATGTTTCTTTACACACTAATTTATACAATTTTTTAATACACATTTTTCCATAAAAAGTAAAAAAGTTAACCCAAACATCCATATTTTTTTCAACTTTTTAGTCTAAAAAGACAAAAAGTGCACTTATTTAGGACACCCCAAACAACCCCTAGTTTTTTGGAAGGTTCCCAAACACCACCTAAGTTGATGTATGTTATGCATTGGAGGCTCATAATCAAGCAAAGCGGTACTTGAGACAGTGACTACAATGGCTTACTTGGTGTGTATGTATGCATATAGAATGATAAGTACTAACAAAATCAATGTTCTACAAAATCAACTTTGATGGCATTGGTATACAATGAAATATATGCAAGTTTAATCTGACGTAACACGGCAACAACGTTTTTATCATATACTTATGGCCAATCTATAAGGTGTGAGCAAAATCCAATGCCACGCTTAAGACATAAAACTGTGAGCAACTGGTATAAGTGGATGGGATTGATTCAATTCATCACGACACAAACTCAAGAATAGGCGTGACAAGCTCTGATGAGAATCTAAAAAAATGCCATGACTGTTACATGTGAGAGCTTGCTCGTCGTTACCTCAAGAAAACTAGAACACAATTCTCAAAATGAACTGTTAGAATGGTACACAATCTGCAAAAAAGAGGAAGGCGTCCATATGTCAAATGTCATTTACTAGAAAGCAAGTGCGAGAAGAAACTACTATGCAGCCAATAATAAACTGAGCACAAAGTTCAAATCATGCGATAGGAGCGAAAACTGGGCAGACACTATTTTATAATCAGCAGCGCAAACGAGCAGGTACATGTGTTCAAACTAGTATACTATTGCCAACAAATACAAGTTTAGTTCTATCACAACATAATTCAATTTGATTACTCATAAACATCAAGTTGCTTTTTCTCAAGCTTTCAGTATGTTGTAGTGTAACAAGTAAAATGCCAATTGTGTGGCATTTCATAGGGGAGGAAAGAGATCATGTTCCTTGAGGACATGTTTGATTCGTGGACAGGATATAGGGGGATAAGTCATTCCACGGGGAGCACTTTAGACATTGTGCAACAAAAACCTTATCCTAGGATAGGAAGCTTCTATTTGCACATCACGCGTTCGGATATCAACTACCAAACAGTGTTTTCGTTCAAAAGTTGATATCCAAACAATTGATTTTAATTCGAAAGTTCTATATCCAAGCAGAAAAATAGCGTGAAATAAGAATTTTTGTGGTGTATGATTAGAAGCTCCCTTGGGTGAGCTGTACAGACTGGCCTGGTCGCCTAGGACATATTAATCCCACAAATGCAGGCTAAAATAACCCCGATAACCCCAAGATAAGTTATCCCGAGTCATCATATGTGAACCAAACACAGATAAAATAGTCCTATCCAGCCCATTCACTTATCCACAAATCAAGCATAGGTTAATCTGCAAGAAAGCAGTAAAATAAAGCCCAAAAAAGGGTACAACAGAAACGGGGCAGGCAAAATGCAGATTGAATAATGACTGAAATAAAAAAAAAACAGTAATTGCTAAGCAGGGTAGAACTACGGACCAGCAAATTTATACCTTACATTCCCTTTGTCCAAGCCTACGCTTTGGTATTTGAAGAACAAAATATACGCAGCATATACTTTAGCCTTGATGAAGAAGCCCACCTGCAATAATGTTTCTGGCTTCATGGCAAAGTACTTCTGGATCATTTCCTTCTATAGGCTTGTGGATAACAACTCTAACAGATCCCGGATTCAGTATACTCTCACTTCCAGTAGGCATGATTTTACCAGTTCCATTTATAGTGATTGGAACCACGGGCACTCCGGTTTTTGCCGCAATACTGAATGCACCTTTCTACAAATCAACAGCAAGATGCAATGACACATTTAGCATAGACAATGTGGTGGTTCTCTACGCATTGCCTAGTTACACCCACCAAACCCATGTCATCAATAACAAAGAAAATGGAATCAAACAAGAAAATGACAGAGACTAATGCTCCGTTTGTTTCGGTGGAAAACATAACCCAATGAAAATGATTTCTACAAATAACTTTTTCCAGAAGATATTTAGTAAATGTTTTCTTACATTTGGTCACAACCTCGAAAACTAATATACTAATAGCTGTATTAGTTGTAACGACCCAGAACCGTATACCATGATTACCAGTAATTAATTATGTGTTAGTATGATTTAATTGAAGATTATCTGTTGAACTTAGAAAATACCTGTTGAGATTACGACTTCGGGACTGAAATTGATGACCGTAATGGGTTCAGAAAATGAAATTGAGCACGCCTATGTGATACCGGGAATTTTTAGAACCATTTGAGGAAATAAATTAAGGGCTGAATTTCGTCTGATTCGTAAGTCATGTTTGGCTTAAGTGTTTTGAGCATGATGGTTTATTTTGTTATATAATAGATAAGGATGGATGTTTTGACTCATTTGACTCAAACTAAAGAAAAAGAGAATATCTAGGGAGAGAAAGAGAGAGAGCTTGGGGAAGAGAGAAAGGAAAGGGAAAGAAGAAGAGAAAAGGGGGTTAAGCTCAAATCTTCTCCAAACTAAGTGGTTAAGGTAAGATTTCCATGAAATTGATTGTTGATTCGTGGTATTTAGCATGTTGAACACAAGATCATGGCTTTAAAATGGTATGAATTATGGTTAATTGGCATTGTTGAAGGAAACCTCCATGGATGTTTCGAAATGAAGCTTTTATGCTCAAGTTTACGATTCTCTATTTTACTCCAAGATTTGATCTTCTATTATTCCTATATGGGTTTTGATTTGAAGTTTTGATGTTGATTTAAGATGGGTTTTAAGTGTTTTGGGTCTTGGATTTCATAAATGTGGAAAGTGATTTTGTAAAGAGGAGAATGAAGCTTGGAAGAAGAACCAGAAATTTGGATTTTGCTCTGTACGCTCGAGCGGAGGGAAGCCCGCTCGAGCGGTGAAAACAGCCTTCCAGCAGTTTTGGGACGTTTTACAGTACGCTCGAGCGGCCAAAGTGGCGCTCGAGCGGGAAGGCCTTTTTCAAGAAAATTTTGGGGAAGTTGCAGACTTGATTTTAACATGTTAATTGCATCATTTATCATCTTATGAACATGAAATGAGTATGAATCAAAGTAAAGAAAGATTAGAATGAACATGAAATGAAGTAAAGGAAAGAATGAAGTGCATGAATTACAGGATTTAATGACAATGTGTATTGAAGAAATGTGTTATTGTTGATATTTGCAGGTCAAGATTTGAAGACCGTGCATTCGGTTTCGGAAACCCTCTGTGAGTAACATTTCTGTAAAGATATGTTACTATGAACTATGTTTTAAATGTATTACGTTATGCTATGCTTTGAAATGAGAATGTTTTTCGTGAATGAATGTCCTGATTTGCGAATCTAGTATGGCATCCATAGATAGTTGGGACATGGGGGCGGGAACATGCAGGCCCATGCGTCATGAGTCATGGGGAACGGCATGGAAGGACAAGCCAATGACTAGTTACGAGATCTCGTAGACTGTTGACTGATAGACTGTTATGAAAGGTTCTGTGGAGTATGCCATTACATATGTTCTTATGATGACTGGTGACTGATATATGTTTATGATTGATTTATTATGGATTTATGAAAATGTCGGACTTCGTTCACCAACCTCTTTACTGTTATGTTACTTGCTGAGCTCAAGCTCATTGTTTGTAATTATGTATTATAGGTGAGCATTCTGGAAGTCAAGCCTAGGCGGAGTCCGAGCCGAGCC